AATCGCAACTTAAAAATAATTAAAAATCGACTACCAAAGACCCAAAGCTGCATTTAAATGTGACTGTCTCCCTTAAGGGATCATACACGGCGTCCTTGGTGTGTAGGAGCAGGAAGGCGAGGAGGGGGGCGTGGCGGTGGGCAGCCAGCATATACCCGCCCGTATCTTCATTGCGACACCGCTCTGTCATGTACGGCACCGACACCTGTCACGTACGGCACACGAGTTGACAGGCGCACACGCACAGATAGACAAAAAACTGACAAACATTGTTGCGGAATGTTTATTGAGTTACGCAACGTGCCCGAGTTCAGAATTAGATCGGTGCATTTCTGTGTGTGCCGGCGACGGTTATCGAGATCGAACGGTTCAAGGAACTTTTCAGGCTACTCTCCGACAACGACGCTTGACTTCGCTCGCCGCTTCGTTCTGAAGTAGAGACGCAGCATATGTTACAATCATTCTCGTTCAGCAATGTGAAAGTGTAAGAAGTTTGTATACGACATCGGATTGAATGATACGATGTATGGTAATATAATATCTAAAAATGAAAGTTGTAAAAAGGAATTTATCCTTATTAGATTTTCGCCTAAATTACGCATGTAATACAAATGTAAATACGCATACTTTGTTTACGTAAAAGCAAGTGACTTTTGTTCTTTTTGAATTCACGTTCATTAATGTTCCATGTTTCAATTGAATTAACATTGAGCATTATAATTCTACGTATTACAATATAGTTACCTCTATTTGATCTTGTCCAACAGCATTTCCGTAACGTTCCTCTTGATGCTGGCAATTGTTTTGCAATACATGCTTAGAGCAGGTCACTTCGCCAAATGGCCGCAAACCCGTTTCCTCCCATTAATTTGTGAATTCTGGTTGAGACAAATCCTAACTGGGTGGAGCAGTGAAGCGTGTATTGCGTATGTATATGCGTCAAAATTCGCAGTGGTGCGCTCTATCTGTCGTTGAGGGTACTCGGTAAACGGGATAACACTGAGCGGTTGCAAGTGCAAGTTTTGAAGACTTTAGATCGTAAACGCTGGCTAGCGGTTACAATACCAAGAATGAAAACGATTTACGAAAATAAATAAACTTGTTCAATCTCAACTGCCTTTACCTCATCTTCAAATGGACCGAGAAAAAGAAAACAAAATATTCTACAAATCGAATTCTTTTAACAACAAATCACCTTCGATTCTTCGCAAAGATAATGTTAGACTTGTGAGAAAAAATCTTATTTCCTACTTGTACAAAATTACCAATAGTTTTAAATAATTTAATCGTTCTGTTTTGTTAAACCCGCCAGTACTGAAATAAATTAAAAATACCTTAAATGCTAAGCATTATATTTGGAATTAGTGTTTGAAGTCAGTTTTCACTTCCGTGTCTTCTGCTGCGCCGTCAGATAGAAAATGCTTGTGTCTGTCTGCCAACACTGGGAGAGAAGGGTCAAGTACAGCTGAATCGAGTACGCTCGAGAGTTTTGACGTGTTGAGCTGCCGTTTACAAAAACAATATAACAATATGACAAACCAATTAAAATTTAAATGCAAATGAAAGTACACTGACAAGGAAATAGATAGGAGGCGTGGCTTTGTGGCGTTTATTTTTCCTTAAGCTTTATCGGTCACATTTCGGCATCTCCAGTCTTCTTTCATCTTCGGTGTTGATTCTGAGTCGACTGGAGGCCCTAGAACAGACTAAACAGCTGTTTTGCAGCAACTCTGGAATACGTTTATTGTCATTTCAAACAGCATAGAATGACATTTATCCATAATGGTCGTGAACCAAAGAAAAAAACGGCGTAGTGTTTATTTGACTTTTTTAATATCCTTCTTGGGGTTATCTAATTACTGTTTCATCTTTTAGAACCTTTGTTATCAGAAACTTTCTGAAACCGTAGTGAGAGTTCCGTCTTTTAACGTATATCAAGTTCTTTTAAAATTTTTAATTTCCATCAAAATGTATAGATTTCAAGAAAACATCAAAAACAGAACTTCAATTTTGATAAATCAATATTTCTGAAATAAAAGAAAATATAGATGTTTAAAAAAAATATATTTTCTCATTCCTACACATGTAAAGATAGCTCTTTACATCTATGCCTGTCGTGAATAGCTTGATTAACAGGCTGAAAGAATGAAGACGATGGGATGATACGTATAGATTTGACTACTATGAAGTTGGATAATTAGAGCGAATATAAGTTAAAGACCATTTAATAAACTAGAAACCAATTAATACATAAAAAAAACACATCATTAAGTTCCAAATGACTGCGATCATTACACTAATATAAATCCTTTGTTATCACAAACACACATCACATGTTAGTAAAACCAGCTACAGGTAACATACAATTACTACTGATTTTGATGACTTAGTGGTTTGACAGATTTACACAAACGAAGATTACAGGCAATGGTAGCCGTGTGTATAAAGCTGTAGTTGAACGTTACGTTTTATAAACGTTCAAAGCAAGAGTAAGAAATTGTGGAAAAGTGTCTATTATAGCAATTTTAAAGACTTATTTCGTAACACAGTGGACACATACAATGCCTTGGTGATTACGCACTCAATAACGTCCTTGAGATTGAATAAAATTTGAAAACGTTTCAGTTTAAAACAACCAATATTGACTGTAGACAACGATTAAAGTCAGTGCCATGCAGAGTTCATTTAGTAATGCAGTAGTGTTATAATTGAATAGCAAGCGCAATCTATTGGTATTAACATCTATTAATTTATATCCGTATATATTCTGTAAAACTAGTTCAACAGAGTCTAATCTCTTCCATACGAAGATGCATAGCCCACTGGGATGTCTACGAGTATCCATAACAGCGGGCTATGGTAGATGTAACTACACATATTTGCTGGTAATTCGTTCACAGTGAATATACTTTGATTATATAAGAGTGTTGTTTTATTTATAACAAACACATGCACCGCTCCCAGCTCTTGCAACGAAATGATTCGCGTTATTCATATCGCAAATGTTCAGTAGATCAGAAGTAGTGCAAGCAGAGCATCAGTAGTTCTCGAAGGAACCACTTCTAAATTCTAAGAAACCACACCTAACTCCACTTTGTTCACCATGATGAAGTGTTATCGAATTGTAACAGATGCTTTTGGGACCAAGACAACTGCAAGAGATCTCGCCGGGGAGCAGCTGCAACTCCCACAGACGCAATAGATTCACAGGTTGGTGACGTCTGGACGTGTCTTTAGAGGAAGGGCATTAGTTCCGCAAAAGATTTCATCGCGGGAGGTGTTGGGAGTCTACTCCCGCTGGCAGGTGGGATCCAGCGCCTGTCTGCATCGATTTGCGCAGTTTCCATCAGCTGTCCATCTCCCACCAGCAGCCCTCGCCCCACCCGGGACAAGATCTAGGCTGCCGACTGGTCCCCGACATTTGTGGTAGTGTAGTGCAAGTAAGGGCTCGTGTGTGTGTGTGTGTGTGTGTGTGTGTGTGTAAGTGATGAATATAGGACAAGGAAGAGAAAGAGAAGATTGCGTTATATCTGCGGCTTGTTTCTTGGAGTATTGGTCTTGCATTCGCCTCTTATTGATCAGGAGAACCACGCAAAACTACAGATCTGACCAGCCGGACGCTAGAAATCCACTTCAGACGGCGGCAGACTTCGACCTATATATTATGAAGGAAGTGTAAAAATTCCTGCAAAGGTCGGAATACAATCCCTTTTACCTCCCGGTCAGAAACACTGCAGGAAAATCGGTTGATGTTCTGAGCTACCTTTGCCGGTAACCTGTCCATCCAATCAGGTACACGAAACGACCCGCAAGATTTCTGAAAACAGAAAACAGCCCATAATTTGAATGTCAAAAATTAGAACCCTCAATTATACGAACACAAAGCTAGTGCATAAAAACAACTTTTCCCTTATCCTTTGCCAACAGAAAGCTCAACAAGGAGTAATTGCAACACCGAGCACTTGTTGTGACACATCTACAGGGCACATCGTTTCTGTGATCCTTTATATACCACGTTATTAAAAAATCTGATATACAACCGGAGAAAATTAGTTCCGATATTTGACTCACTATTTCACCTAATTATTGTTTATTGCATGCAATGCTATCTCATCTAAACGAAGTAGACTTTGTCACTCGAAAGTATTTACCTTGAATCAAGCAATCGAAAGCGCCCCTGGGTCTTCTGAGCCCTCAGTTCCTCGTTCTGTGCGCGCCGAGGGGGCGTTTCCGCCTGGGGCGAGGCACCAACGCGCGCAGACCTCTGCGCACCTGCGCACGCACAGCACCCCGCCGACTGCGCACAATTTCTGCGCAGAAGGCGGCGGCGGCCAGCGCCAGCCCTGCGCAGAGCAGCGCCAGGTGCGGCCACAGGTCCTGCAGCTCCAGGGTCCGGGGTTCGTCGCCTTGCACTGCCGACCCCGCCTCGTCACTATGCGGAAGTGCTTTATTTTTCAGACGCCAGTACATTGCCCATGTTCGGTTAAATTCATCAGCCCACTTGGGATAAAGCCCCGCGTCTCGGAACTGAATCATTTTCGTATTAAATGCGTCGACCCACGGCCAATTCCTGGAAAATATAAGTAGATGCAGGTATTTTGAAGGCGGATAATATAGGAAGTAGTTCGGGATGATAAAGGAAGTGAGCGTGTTTGGATCCAGCCGTCTCCTACGCAGAATTCGCCAAAGCCGAATCGCCGCCAGCCTCCGGGTGGAATTGAATTGAATTGAATTGAATTGAATTGAATTGAACTGATGCCTTATTTTACGTGGCGAGACTCAGGCCATCAGGCCTGCTCTTCCGCCCGACGACGCAAATTTCGCTACGCTCCTTTCACTAACTAGCAGAAAAAGTAGGTATTTCTTGGGTGACAAACAGGCGATTCGAATTTAGTTCAGAGGTGACATTAGGCTTGAGGATCTTTTTCATGCAAGTAAATCTACTGACATGGGACAGCCGGCTTTACTTCCCTTCGAAGGAAGGCGTACGAAGGAAGCCCTTAAGAACCCACGGCTTCGATCGAGTTTGAACCAGCCAACTTGAATAACCAGCCCGATATGCTAACCGTTACACCATCGCCGCCGCCAGTTAACCGCGGTTCATCGCCTGCCAGTTTCCTAGCTCCGTGATCCTCTCCTCTTCTCGTCCACTTCAGTTGATAACGCGCCGCTTATCAAAAAGGAATCTCTTTGTGAGTTCTCGGATCAGAAATTTTTCTTGGGCGCACGGGTATTTAACGCGCGACTGGGCACAAAGTCACCAACGCACTCCCGCACGAGGACAGTGCATCACAACACAGAGTATAACTTCTAATTTAATGGTAGGTTCATTTCAACGAGCTTTTGGAATGAGGAGTCAGAGTTATTTTTTATCACGTGTTTACAAATTACGTACTTCTTCCATTACTTACCATTTCGTAATCATATACTCCCATAAGGGTGACGCTGCGTCGAAAACTTTCATGGAGCCAAGTTTTTGAGGGCTTATAGAAACCATCGGGAGCCATTTTTTCTCACTTAAAAGTATGGCGTAGCGTTTTTCTTCAAGATACAATAGCCGCTCCTCCGCATGGTTAAAAAATTTTAAATTGAGATTTAAGAAATATTGAGACGATGTTTCTGTACAACAGTCTCTGTCTTTTCTCTGAGAACAAAACCGTTTCAAAACATCTATGTTAGATTGAAGGTTTATAGGAGCTAATCCTGTTATTCCAGCAGCAATCAGTTGGTCAATTGTTTTTATTTCCGGGTAGTATTGAGGCATCATAATCAGGTCGAAGAGACGGCCCTGCAACAGAAACACGTGCTCAGTAGACAATTCTTTGCAGAAGCAGAAACACTGAGATTTGCCCGTGTTGCAACAGTTTCACCCAAGGATTATCAGATTCAGGATAATACAGTATTTTTTCTAAAGTTTCATATTTATAAATTCCACGGTGGGAGGAGATGATAAATATGGTTAAAGATTACGGAGTTATCAACCACAAAGTGATTGATACACTGCCACACATGTTGAGAGACCAGACGAAAGACTTTGCTAACTGGATATTACAAGTTGACATAACCTGTTTCATATTTAACAAAAATGTTGGACGATGATGATAATTCATATTGAAGCCACGTTACGTTTTTGTTTGTAAGATCAAATTTTGTGCAATAAAAAAATCTGATATTTCTTGCGATTAAAATCCTACACCAAACCAAAGCAGACCAAAATGAGCTCAACCACACCCGCTATTCCTGTTCGTGACTTCTTCGTGGCTGTCCAGGAGACGCCGTGTCTCCGGCACAGATGCATCATTATTGGCAGTCATAATGCGACCTTTCTCACTTTCCACTAGGCCAATTTATTGCACCAAAGCCTATCTTAAACAAAACAAATGCTAAAATCTTCTTCAGATTACGACAGAGACATGAAATTACCATCGGGTCCCTGAGTTCGTACCCTCACCTCATTTTTACTTTTTACAGTCATGCATTCAACCCGAAAAAAGTTCTCATAATCCGAAGACATCTTTGTTCCTACCAGACAGTTCGGATTAGTTAACTGAGACCGACATCTGGCGGAGAAAGTGAGAGTAAGATCCCAGGCGCAATACAGAACAGCCCACGAGGGGCCCGGCTCGATAAATAAATAAATAAATAAATAAATAAATAAATAAATAAATAAATAAATAAATAAATAAATAAATTTTAAAAAGTTCGAAGATGCAAGGCTACATCTTGACATGAGAGCAGACGAAACATACACTACATCGTTAGGTGCAATGAGATCTTGAGTGATTTCTCATTTATAATCGGAGCATAATGCCTACTAATATAGCCTGCTTAAGGCACGGAAAAAAATAGTTTGGGAACCGTTTATCAACTGTATAAAAACGAGACACTAACTAGCCGATAATATAAATTTTGTTGATGCACCCTGCAATGTAGGCCAAAATACATTACGTGAGGCAATGCACACATATTAAAAGCGACGAAAATATACCTTTACAAAATGACTTAATTGCATCTATTTATATAATCCAAAAGCGCAAGTTCAGTTAGGTAGTTGTATAGAAACGCTTAAAATGAAACGTAAACCGAACGCATCATAATCAACCTTTCATAAAAATATCATCTGGTCATAAAACATTCACTCGGTTCACCCTTCATAAAAATTCGCTCGTTTTCCAGCTAGTCGCCCAGTAGCCAGTCAGAGTGGCATGTGCAGGAGGGGAGTTGCCATTGCAGAGATACATTGAGGAGGAAAAACCCCGCAAGGCGGCGTGTAGATCGGAGCCGGATCGTACTACACGTCGTGTATTAATCTAATATATTTATAGAGAGATTCTCACTTATTAAATTTTCACTCCTTGAAGAAAACTTAAATTTGTAAGCGCGTAAAATAAGAAAAAGAGATAAATGCTCTTCTTCTTCGTCTTCTAAACAGGAGAATAATTGTGGTGAATATTGTTCCTCTTATTGGTCTTTCTACAAAAAAATCATTTTTAGAACAGATGTGACTTCATTTATTTATTTAATAAAACTTGAAACGGAAACAGCAATTTGATGCGAAGTAGTAACGTGAGCAAAGCAAAGGAATTTAGAGAGATCTGTGCCCTCACCTGGTAGGCGGCGGCGACGACGACGGCGGAGGCGAGCAGCGCGGCGGCCAGCTGCAGGCGCTGCGGCGTGGCGCGCACCCTGTCCTGCGGGGCGCCCCCGCACGAGGAGAAGGCGCGCAGCGCGGCGGCGGCGCTGGCGGCCAGCGACTCGCCCGCCACCACGCGCCACGCCAGCGCGTACGCCACCGCCGCCCCCAGCAGCAGGAGCCAAATACGATGGGAGAACACTCGCAGCGGCAGCGACCACGCCGGCAGCTTCATAGGCGGAGGCACGACCACAATCGTCCTAGATAATCTTTGTGACGCCGGCACAAAGTCAAACAGAATCGTCTCTCCTATTTCTGGAAGAAGCCCTTCAAGTATGAAGTCCCCGTTCCCGTATAGTACATCAAGAATTTCATTGTAAATCTGTGTGTGTGGTTTTTCCAAAGGCTGTTCCTGAAACAATTCAGGTTTACACGAGCATTTAACTCTGCTCTTACAAGGAATTTGAAGAAAAATTGTGGAGCTATTTTTGAGAAAATACTAGAAATAGCACTGGAGATTAATGTAAAGTACCCTTAAATTATTTATTTTTTTGTTTTAATCACAGCACTTTAAGTTGAGCTTTATCGACCAGGAAATATTCATTTTGGAATAAATCTAACGTATGGTTCAGGCGCCAGTGGTGTGTTCACAGACTGACAGACGGACGGACGGACGGACAGACGGACGGACGGACAGACGGATAGATGGACAGGCGGACGTACGGACGGACGAATAGAAGGACGGACGAACAGATGGACGTCGGGACGTATTAAAAACCACTTTTACGGTATCTGAGGACCTCTATGTGTATTTACGTTGAAATGTGAATTATCGAAATTGGATTTTCGTAGCATTACATAACTTTCTATATAACACACATATTTCTCCGTATGTAGTATACATAGCAAATGGTGCGGGGATCTGCTTTGGCGCTGTTCGATTTCAGCTGCTGAGGGAGACTGGAGGGAGAATACGTGATGTCTGTGCCCAGAAATAAATAAATAATTTAGAAAAAGTCTGGTGGATTAGCATGTCCTCGGCTTCTGGCGTCATGTTTTCCCCCTTCAGGTTTCTTTCCTTCAAACCAACCTTCTGGTCTAATCCAGGACTTTGATGGGACGGAGAAGCCGTTTGGGGTGAACACCACAACTGGAAAGTTTAGAACGATGTAGGATGTAGGTATTGTAATGGCTTAAAGGCCTTTGGCCTAGCCATACAGTATCAAGTTATTTCATTTATAAGCTTAATAATTACCTATTAAATACCAAAATAATAAATGCGTTTAAGCACATTTATTATTTTATTACTTAATGGAATGGATGAATATGTTTTCCTTTTGCAGAAAAAAACGTTTGTATCTTCAGAAGTTAGACTAAAATACGTTACCTCTAGATGAAGGGTCTCACAACAAAGAAATTTGATAATGCAAATGCGGCCGTAAATAATCCCACTTATTATGAACATAAAATATTGTGAAAAAATAGGTAGTCTAAGAGCTATAGCATTTGGTTATGTTTCTTATGAAAGTTCACGCAGGTGGACGAATTGCCCCATAAACATACGTTATTCTATTCCGATAACCATATGCTTATGTGCTAATACAATATATTAATCTATTCTGATAACTATACTCTGCGATGTAGAATTGAACAATTAGTTATTAAGCTATTCACAACCAATTAACTAATTTATTAAAACTTTCTTATGTTCATCCTCAATAGTCATTTCCCCCTTCTTAATTAGAAAGTAACTTTTTGGTATAAAGCAATTCCTGTAATGCAACGTCTGTATACATCATTAAAAAAATTAATTTCTAAAATTATATTCTCCTACATAGTAATAATAATCTTGCATAATCTTCCTAATTTGAATTGTAAGTTATTCTATGCTTTACTTTATTTAAAAAGAGTCTTTAAATTGTTATAAATGAAATTACCTACAAATATTAGCCGATCAGACGTCTTTTTAACGTTCCCGGCAACTCAGCCTTCGACGCGGCGTCACCCGGACAGCCCAGATCACCCACATGGTTGGTTTCTGTCATCTCTAGTCATCTATCTCTTATTTCGTACCATAAAAGGAAACAAAACGTGCCATATTTCCCTGTCACACCGTGTCTGGAAATATTACTTCTAATTGTATTATCTGCCAGGCCGTCTGACAGTTCATTCTTCAGATCGCCCGTCCGTCCTCCCATCTGGCCGTATGCCTGGCTTCACGTCAATCCGTCCATCTGTTCATCCGTCCGCCTGTCTTTCTGTCCGTTCGTCAGGCCATCTTTTAGATCAAACGTCATTTTGAAAAATAACGTCTCCAAAACTCAAACATTTTTTGTAAAAACGAGTTAAAAATTTCGCTTTAGCAAAAAATGCCATTCGATCCCCTATCAAAAATAGCTTTATTTCTTGCTTTCGATATTCTATAAGTGCTATATTAAATGCATTTAATAACAGAGAAAATAATTTATTATTTTTAAATGAAGGAATTCTTACCTTTGATCTTACAGATTTACCTTTCCAAAACAGAAGAAGGTGAAGCTGTGCTCCGAGCTCTTCGTACTCCAAGTACATGGGAGTAGCTATACGCAAAACAAAATCTCCAAACCGCTCATACATTTTGCTACTTCCTTTGTGAACGTAAGACAAACCTGCGCCTCCGAGGTCCCTCGAGCGAGTTGCCACCAGCGCCTTGGCCTCGCGCGCGCATGCCTCACTGCGCTCCTCACACTGGGTGAGCCACTCCCTGCTCCCCCCATCGGGGGCCACGACATCGACGGCCAGCGCCCACCACCGCCCCGCCCCCTCCCGTTCGCGCAGAAGCAGCCCGCGGAAGCCCTGGTGGCGCTGCCACAGCGCGGCCAGCACGCGCCGCCCCGCACGCAGCTGCGCCCCCGCCGCGCTCCCGGCCTCTCGCACTCGCTTCCCGCCACTCCTTTGTTCCTCGAGGCGCTTTTGAGGTCGCTGCTCGGCTCCCACATCTTCAACAGAGAACGTACAGGCCTGGCAACTTTCCTGTTTGCTTTTACGTATCTGATCGAACGGGAAGGGTATTTCAGATAGCGTCAGATTTGCCCAATTTCTATTATCCCTCTCAGCTTTGTCCAAATTGCTCTGCTGTTCAAAACATTTTTGGATATTATTGCATAATAACTGGTCTTTCCCCAAAAAATTCTGTGTGTCCTCCACAATTTTACCACTTCGTGCATATCCAGTTTCAAATGTTAGCCGTCCTTGACCTTCCTTGAAGGCATGGTTCTGTGAAAGTCGGATTCTTCCTTTGTCCTCTTCCTCACAATTATGAATTTCTGGTGTACCTCCAACTGCCAGGACGACTGGCGCCGAGGAATGAAGTTGAAGGTTGCGATGTGAGAGAGAGCCACTAGTTATAGACTGTAAGAAACCAACATTATTTGTATTATATAAATCTTTCTCAGGAATATTTTGTTGCGATAATTTATTTAAAAGCATAAAATTAAAAGTCCATCGCGTGGGCTACCCTAAACAGTCTAAACGTTTCCGCAGCTTCAAAGGATTCATTGACAACCTCTGCACTAGACATCGTCGGTTCTCTTACGTCTAGGCTCTTTCTATGTTGTCCCACCTCCCTCCGCCCCCGCCCCGGCAACGATATTCAGACACTTCCTCACTTGGACATCGACGGCTTTCTGACCTCTAGGCTCTGCTGTCCCACCTCCCTCCGCCCCCGCCACAGCAACGACCTTTAGACGCTTCCACACTTGGACATCGACGGCTTTCTGACCTCTAGGTTCCTCCGATGTTGCAACGATCGCCGAGGTACAGTTGAGAGCGCTTGAGACCTGTGCCTACGAGGTCCACGTCGCTATCATTGAAAGCAGCGCTAAACCAACGAATGGGGAGGTTATATCCGCGGTGGAATACGAGTAGCAATTTCACTTAAACATGATTTGTCCTGGGATGTCTCTTTACTGTGGTTTCTTCAACTATACAAGCCAGGTAACACGAACAATTATTAGAGTTTTTGTGAAACGAACGGTAATCATTGTTAGACTTAAGAAAATAAATGTGTGAAAAATTGATTTAATTGCTATTTTAAGTGTTATATGAAACCAATTGGTGAAGTCTTCAGCAAAAATACCTATTGTAAATAATAAATAAAAACCATGGCATGACAGACATACGAATAAAGAATAGCCACCATACTAGTTAAAGCTCGCATTGAAAATTGTGTGACATAAAATATTTTATATTTTAGTATGACTAACTTCACTGAAAGGAACATAGACTGTTCCGCTTGTTTGGTTGAGTAGGAAGGCGAGGAGGTAGTCGTGGCGGTGGGCCGCTAGCACGTAGCCGCCCTGCCTCTCCAGCCAAATGGGCGCTTTGTACGACAAGCGCCACAGGCGGTCGGCACAATCAGCAGAGGCAGTGACGGGCGCCACAGCAAGCAGCGGCCGCCGCGGCGCGGGCGTGCAGGGCGCGTAGCCAGCGCGGGCCGTCCGCCCAGGTCCACCACGCCACCGCCCGCCCGCGGCCCACGCGCCGCGCCTCCCCAGCGCCCACTTGCAAGCGCCTCGCACGGGCGGCCCCCTCCCACGGCACACACACGCCCCGCGCCTCTACCCCCGCCCACAGCGCTACCGACAGTGCCAGCCTCAGGGCTCGAAGCCCTGTCCCTCTGTCAAAACACCAATCACACATCACGCCACCCTGTCTCTGTACGACGTCACGAATATTTTTTATTGCACCACCGACATCGACGCCGCCTTCTTTTGCTCCCTCTCTGCCACTTAACAGCGCACTGGGTCGCGCAACACTAGCTTCTTTTGTTCTCCCTCGTTAAAGCCATCAAACATCGTGCCCAGTTTTACGTTAGGCTAGCTATATTGAACGTTTTTTTGAAAAACACTGCACATGATACTGATGCAATTGAAAAATTGATTTACAGAACAATAACTCGCCTCACATATTCATTGTAATCCATATTCTTCCTAATGAAAGCTCCAACAAGTTATTGTTGAAGTTATCCAATACCACAGGTATGACGGCATAGAAGGATAGCACAATGCAGAAAATATTCAGTAATGGCATAATTCCAGAACAAAAAAGCTTTCATCAGCCCGCTCGTTGTATCAAACAATTGCTGGTGCGTTAAAATTTGTCAAGGCGTCAGGAGAATTGACGAAATTAGTGTCTCAAATTATGATAGACAGTATCCATCAATAAGTTTGATAAAAAATACGATAAGTTTTTTAT